CCCACCGAAACCTTAGCAAGCCTGGCTGCGACTGGCGTCAGAAGGGAAGTCGCAGCCTGGTTGCGACTTCCTTTTGAGACGTGGCTCCACGTGGAGCCATGTCAAATCGAAGTTGCAGCCGTTGGCTGCGACTTTAGTGAAATCGCAGCCATAGGTCGCGATTTCGTCCTAAATCGCACGCAGCGACCACAATTTCGTGAAATCACTAAGTTACTTAAGTAACTTAGTGACATCGACAAGTAGACCACTCAGAAGGCATCCAATGTAGAATATTGACAAATCATGTAACGACACGTGACAATACGAGTTGTCACAATTGTACATGTTGGATTTGACAGAAGTTCATCGTATGAGTGAGAAGACGACACATAGTAGCGCATTCAAATAAATTCATAAATAATAATTTTCAGAGTCTCACTTAATCTCCACAATTTCTTTATTTCTTTTTCTTATCTTTTTTTTTAATCTCTACCATTCATTCGTTTTTACCATAAATTCAGTGGTCAAATTTAATCCTTGAAAATTTTATTTAAAGTTATCAAATTCATCTTCTTCCACGCCAATTTTTTTTAGTAAAACATGTTGGGGTGAAGATTTGAACTCACGACCTTATAGTTAGAGATAGGTGCCTTAACCAGTTGAAATATGTTTAGGTTGACTCATCTATACCAATTATCCTAGCAAAATAAAATTTTCTTCTTCAATTTTTTGCTCTAAAAAAATTCACTCTTACACCAAAAAACAATTATTTTTTTTTTAGAAATACATTAGAGTATGGCTCTTTAGCCATTACTTTAGTACAAAATTTGTGTAAATCTACCTCAGTGAGAAAGGTTATAGTGATTTGATCTTGAACGAGTGAAAAAGATTGGTTAAGTTGGATCCTAAACCTACAAAAGGATTGGGAGGATGTTTACTCTTGAATCCACAAAAAGAGTGGTTGCCTCTTTTAATTGGGAGGTGTCATTTCTTTTCTTTTACCCTCTTTTAATTTCTGCATCTAAAACTACATTTGATTTTTTACGATCACTTGTCATTCTTGAATTCTTTTTTTTTTTTAAATTAAAAAGTTGGTAAGCAATCATATTCCCCTACTCTAGTATTGTCATACAATTACTTTCAGCTTTGGTTCATTTTGGTCTGTGTAAAATTTTGGTTCCTGTACTTTCAACTTTTGTTCATTTTAGTCCCTATACTTTTAAAATGTTTGTTTTGGTCTCTGTACTTTTACAAACTGGCCATTTTGGTACTTTATAATCTCATTTTTTCTATCACAATTTCAACACAACACTACACTAAATATATTTCTTGAAATGTAACCATGACTTTAAAACTTTATAAATAGGGACCAAAATGGTCTCTCTTTAAAGTACAGGTACTATAATTAACTAAAGTTAAAATACATGGACCAAATTGAACATTTTGAAAGTGCATGGACCAAAATGAACTAACACTAAAATACAGGGACTAAAATAGTATTTTAAACTAAATATTAATTAGTAATTGCTCAATTGGYTTTTTTTTTCTTGAGTTTAAATGTTAGTTTGGTCTTTCTTCATTGTAGTCTATATACTTTTAAAACATCCATCTTTGTCTATGTACTTTTAAAAAGCGACCATTTTGATCCCTATTGAAAATTTTTAACACAATAAAAACCCTCTAATACAAATGTGTGGCTACATTTATAGAAATTCAGTGGATGAAGTGTCATGCTAAAATTTTGATCAAAATAAATGAGGAAAAAAATGAAGATATCAAAATGGTCATTTTTTTAAAAATACAGAGACCAAAACGAACGTTGTGAAAATATAGGTACTAAAATAAACAAAAGTTGAAAGTATGGCTAAAATAGTCATTTTAAAAATTATCAGTTCAAAAATACATAGACCAAAATGAATAAAGTCGAAATTACAGGATAAAAAAGTATTTAAACCTAAAAAATAATTGGCTTCCCTTTGATATAGGATCTTCCGGCTCTTTAGTTGATGTTCATGTGGATTCTAAATAATTATTGTCATTATTTATAGACCTAGGATACCTAATCGGTCATGTCAAATAAGTAATTATATATGGATCTTATAATTCAGGTTCATTGTTGCATATGTTTCCATTACTCGTATATGAGTATAATATAATCCAAAAGATAAAAACAGACAACTTTTCCAATATACGTTTTCCATATGAGATAATAGATATAATATAGAGATACTCCATATCATTCTTACTATCAGTCTCAATATGACGATAATCATTACAACATATATCTTTAAAACTTAGTATATTTATCTTTGATTGACTAGAGAACAATGTGTTGTCAATTATAAAGTTTGTTCGTCTTGACAAAATGATATTTGTTTTCCAAAACCTTCAATCAAGTTTGCAGAACCTAAGATTGTATTGACTTCTGGAGAAATATTTTATGCTTTGGAAAAATATTTGCTTGTCCATCTACTTTTATCTGCCA